ATCCTAAAAGAAATTAATAAAAAAAAGCCATATCCTAAAAGAAAAAGCTAAAGGTTTCATGACTTTCATCTTGGGAATCCTATGCCACACACCCTCCCCCAAGAAATTCAAAATACAAAAGCTTTATGCATGCATGACCTGCTCATATATAAAAAAAATTTGTATTTTCTTTCTTCTTCCTCATTATATATATATATATATACACACACACACGTAGTATTATTAGGTAGGATAACATCATAATTACTCATTTTTAGGGCACGCTTTTTTTTTGGTCTTTGAACAGTTGTATTACAATTATACCCTCAGTTTTCATTTCATCATTTATCTGGGCTCATCTCTCTTCCCCTTTCTTTTCCCTTTTCTTTTATCTTTTTGTTTTTGGCACATTTTATGGGAGACAGATAATACAGCTTTGTCCCTGTTACCCTGTGGGGAGCCTAATGTGCATTGCCTATTTGGTAGTAGTTTAGTTATTCTAAGCTTCCCACGAAAGTACTCCATATAATATTTCTGATAACAGCGCGTTTGATAGTGCACTGCTTTTAAAAATTTAGTTAATTTCTGCTTTGGCCTTTGAGAGGTTATGATTTTACACTGTTTGGCATGTCAGCTTTTATTTTTTCTTCACCTCTATTTTGTACACAGAACACCATTTCGAAAAAGTAGTCATAAGGTACTTTGTTTTCAGGTTTTGCGGGAATTACTTTATTCACAAATGAATCACTTCCAAATGCATCTAACTCTGTGAAGCAACACAAATTATTAATCAGGTCATCCCCAATGAGTTCAGCCACCTCTGGCGAAGGGTCCACATAAATTCTCTATATAGGTTCTTGAAGGGCACCAAATCTTACCATTTGATCCTCAACTAAATTTTGTCCTTCCTCCCGATTTAATTAATTCCGACAATTTATGTGTACAATTTTTTTGAATAATCCAAAAAGAAAATTGTATCAATTAATTCAGGATGTAAGGAGTATTAATTACGACTCTTTTGGTGACTACATAAGTTAATATATAGTTATGAATTCTGATACCTCTGGATATTGAAAGGAATCTACTAATGCTAAGGTGGTTGTCGCAACTTGCAACCTCCTAGGATATGATGTCCTCGGCCCAGATCATCATTTCAAAATAATTTTATTTCAAATTTTAGAAATCATATCATCATTATTGTATACCTAGTAGTTTGGCACACACACATACATGCATACTCCATATGCTATCAAACACACACACACATATCTGCTGGACAAGGGGCCATGCCAGCAATGAATATTACCATCAATAATTATAATAGTATAAATTGACAGCTATGTTACTCCCTATTATATTTCACTAGCTACCCCATTTAAGAATATACTCTTATATGTATGAAATTATGAATTCAGGAGAAAAGAAAATAGTGATTGAAAAAAAAAAAGCATGCATGAATGCATACTTATATATGTATGTATATATGTGTATGTGTGTGGGGTTCTCTTGATACCTACCAACCTACCAAAAGCCAGCCCACAATTTCACAGCTACTCCACAAATCATATATACTCCAAGCCCCTCCCACAATCACTATTGCTTCATTTCCATGTGTGGATAGGACTGGCCCGAAACTCGTGGGCCGGGCTCGAGTTTTAATTGTTAGCCCCGCTAAACGGGCTGCGCAAGGCTCAGGCCTAGAAATTTCTTGTAATGTAGCATCCGACCCGGCCTGCAATTTGATCCGGTTTTTTCTTCCCCTTCCATTCCCTCCCATCCAACCAAACATAGCCTTAGCCAGCAAGGTCAGGAAGAT